TGAGCATGTGAAGGTTCAGTGGTTAGGTTGATTAATTCCTAATTAATTATCAGAAATTCACTGCCCTTAACGTATCTATCCCTGACTTCATATCCCCAGGCCTAAAGTCAGAGTTCCCAATTTAATTGGGAGGTAGAATCCCTAAAATATCTCGGCACCAATATCCCGACGGAACTTTCCAGCACCTTTCACCTCAACTTCCCTCCATTGCTCAAAGACATTGTATTGGACCTTGCGAGGTGGCATACGGGTGAATTTTCCTGGTTCGGGAGATGCAATATCCTGAAAATGAATGTCATACCACATATTCTTTATCTCCTAGAAACCCTACCGATTCACATCCCGCAGTCATATCTTAAAGCTGTTAACAGTACACTTCCTATGAGCCCAAAAGCCACCCAGGATGAAATCATCGATTATGCGTATGCATAAGAGCCATGGGGGCATAGGCCTGTCTGATGTGATCAGATACCATGCGGCATGCCACCTCGCGAGGGTAATTGACTTGATCGCTGGATCGGAGCTGCCTGCAGGGACAGAGTAGTCAGCGCTGGATCGGAGAGCCATCGCACCGCTGGAGGGACAGATGAAAACATCAGGAAAGAAGATCGGATTAAGAGACATCATTTAGGGTAAGTGTTAATATTAACATTGGGGGGAGGGAAAAATGTTTTAGACTTTAATGTCACTTTAAGTCAATATGATACCTCAATGATATAGATAACTCAGATGCCTCACGATCTGGGGTAGACGGATACCTCCCTTTATGATGACAAACTCCAGCTACGGGTTTCCTGTACGCATTCCTATTCACAAGTGTTTCTGTGCAGCGCCACAAGACGTCCGTGAACCAAGCACTTTATGCCCCAGAAAACAGTACTGTCTCAGAGGATATACATTGTCGAGGTGCAACTCATATTTCATGTACAATATGTGTAAATTCAGAGCTGTTGAGAAAGGCAACAGGTTAATACATGTATAACCTTCCTTTCCTATGTTTTTTCTGTATCCCCGTGTATGTACAATGTTGTGTAACTTGCTTATATTGGAAAAGTTACAGGATCCGTGCAATAGCACTTCTGCCTTGTATCAGTATGGTAATTTCACCGTCATGCAGTGTTCTTGTATGGATAATCTGAAAATAAAGAATTTATTAAAAAAAAAAAAGCTCCTAATGGTAGAGGTAGAGGACATCCCTTAAAGTGTATCTTAACCCAAAACCAAAAATGTAATTTATTGCAGCAGTCTGATCATTAAATGTAGTGGCTGCATTTGTTTTCTCTTTTTATGTTTTTTTTTAATTCATTTTTTTACTTGGTGATTTGGCCAGTATGTCTGTTATTTTTCAAATAACAGACCAAACTGTCCATCAAAAGTAGAAGATAGAGGGTTGAGACAAACCATACCATTTAACATGATATGGGTGCTTATAATGATTAGTTTTTATTCATTCATGTAAAACCTTTATCTCAAAAAGGAAATAAAAACTTGCTCTAGCCGCTTAAAAAGTTTTAATTTGAGCTTAAGTTTAATTTGTTACTCAAGTCCATCTAAATCTGCTAGTGCATCTGACATTAACCTCTCCACAGGGTGACAAAGCTGTTGTCAAAGAGTGGCTCCATTGCTCCTCCATAGTTTGGAGCCACCCTAAGCTGCCCATACACCTTACGAATATTGTCCAATTTCCATATGCGATTGCGTTTTCCGATATTCGTAAGGTTGAGTGTACAACCACAATTACTGTGCAAGCGATCGACTTTTGACTAACCAGCAGGTTAGAAAACTTTGGTCGATCATACGACTTTCGCAAGGTTGGTGCCGTTTCCGTAAGTCAAAATTCATACGATTTACACTGCACATGTGCAGACAAAAATACTTGCGGTCGATTACCGCAATTCGTCCAGGTGCTTTCTTTTAATTACCGCTGATCCAACCTTGCGATAACTGGGGCAGGATGGGGGGCGCTGTACGAAAATCGTACGACGGTTCGATCATCGGACGAAAAGTTTTGTTTGATGATCGCAAGGTATATGGGCAGCTTAAGACAGGAAATGTGTTGCTGGCTGGACCACCAACTAAAAATAAGGAGAAAAAAAGCCTTAAAAAATAAAATGAATGCAGCCACCACATCTAAGTATTGGTAAGCTGAAATATAATACGTTTTGGGTATAGGTATGCTTTAAGGAATTGGTAGACAAAAGACTTTTATCATCTTTTGCACTAATAGACACCATCATGAAACCTATTGCTTCCATGCAAATTTGTAAGACCTTTGCTGTCTGGTCCAACATTATGATCCGCTACCCTGGCTCCATTGTCGCTGATCTTTCTGTACTGCAGCGTTTGGAACTCCTTCCTGCCGTTTTAAGGTTTTGTGTGGACTGTCTCGGGGGCACCCACTGAAAGATGTCTAGGGCAGGTCTACTGTCCATACAAGTAAAAGCTCTGATTCAAGTACTGATTTGCAGATCTGGCTTGCAAGAAGCACCTTGAGTGGATGCCCTTTGCAGCAAAACATTTCTTCTGTGAATATTTTGACTTCATAAAGGAGGTCACTGGCAGTACAAGCACACTTTTGCCCAGTGAAAAGAAGTTCTTTTCATCCCTCCGGGGATCCACCTTGAAGTCCGAATCTGGCGCCCAGTTTAGATGAGTCCTAGACTCCCAAGCCAACGAAATCCAGCTCCAAACCTTCCTCACAATGATGGGACACCCTCATTTCTTCAAGTGGGGGGATGCCTGTAGGCTTTCACAGCCATCTTGGTTTGGGAAAGCCCTTACTTTTGGGTCCAGAATGTTGTCTCCAAGGGGTCTTCTCCACCCCTCTTCATGTCTTGCAATCTGTCTTCTTCCCTGCAAAGACCAATGGATCTGCAAGCTGCTCTGTGGCCATTGCTTGCTTGGGAGTCATTATGCCTGTTGCGGCATTGGAGAGGTTTCTACTCCAACCGGTTCTTGATTCTGTAGGGCATTCGTTTGATGCTGCACATAAAGAGCCTAAACAAGTTTCTCTGGGTCCAGAATTGCCTCATGGAATCAGCCACATCAGTCTCCTGGCCAGACATAGACTCGGGTCAGACGGGAAGTACATGAACAAGAAAACAGCATTTGGTCAAACATCACCATTTGTGGTGCTGAGGCCGGTGTTGCTTAGCTCCCTGTCAAACAAACAGGTGCAGCAGCTGAGGACTTATACAGTGGATGGTCAGAGCCTGATGGTGATGCTACGTTACTAGATCCCCACCAAGTCCACTCTGCTGCTAATTGACAGCAGGCCGTGGGTGGATTCCATAGCCAATAGCAGGCTGGCTATTGGCTATAGAATCAGCCTGCTGTCAATCAGTAGTAGAACAGACCTGCTGAGGAACTAGTATCTCTGCATCCCCATTGGGCTCCGTCCACTTTTGTCTCTAAGGATGCTGTCAGCTCCAGCTTACCGAATCCTTAACAACCAGTGATGCTGACAGTGGGGGGCAGAGCCTGATGGGGACTTGTAGCATCATTGGTTAAGAATGTTGTTAGCTACACCAGTAGAGTGTAACAACAGCACAACATTAACGCTATTTATATGTGCAATGAACGTTAACAGTGCTTGCAATGTCTCATACTGTATGTACTGGATTTAGTAATACTCTCATCCAGTTTTCACAAATCAGCTTTAGAGCTCTACTTTAGAACATCACTTAAATATTCTATTCACTAAAGCACAATTGAAATAAGAAGTAAGAATTGGTGTTTAGCATCCCTAATAGATGTTATAGTTCTAAACAACTAGGTTACCCCAACACAAAAACATATCAGCACAAAGTGGTTGTGGATTAAGAGAGTGTAACTAAGAAAGCAACTTAATAATGCTAATATTTTTATAGTGGTTTTGGTGTTTGGATCTTTGAAGAGAAGGATTTGTCTGGTGTTGCTATAAGACTGGGTAAATATGTGTGTCTTGAGCCTACAGTCACCAGTGTCTTGTTTGTAAGACAGTGTTTTGTGTCCTATGCATACCAATGGTAATGGATGATCTTTGCCAGTGCGATCATGTATATTGCAAATAACATTGGTGACAGAATTGAGCCCTGTGACACCCCATGAAGTAATGAAAGTTAGGTGTATTCCTGCTGTGAGCTTTTGTGAAGGATTTAAACCAGCTAGCCACTGTATCCTCTAGACATCAATGCAGCTTTAAGTGATCCAGTAGGATATTATGCTCCACAGTGTAAAATGCAGCAGAAAGATCAAGGAAGATAAGGGTGCAGCATTCTCCCTCATCTCTAGCCATCAATAGTTCATTTGATAGGTGGACAAGTACTGTTTTTTTCTGAAACCAGATTGAAATTCATCAAAGATTTTGTTGTCAAACAGGCTTCCAACCTGTTAGCGACTGCCTTTTTCAGTCACCTTTGCTAAAATTGGAAGATTTGACACTGGTTTGTTGCTGGCCAATATCTCTGGATCCAAGCAATGCTTTTAAGTAATGGCCTGATAACGGCTTCCTTAAGTTGGTGTGGGAAGATTCCTGTATTGAGAGAGCACTGTACAATTTTTTGGACTGCTAGACTAATGTGGGCAATGCATGCTAATAGGCCTGTTTTACCTGGGTCAAGGTCACATGTGGTTGCATGGAGCCCTTTGACAATTAGCCAAGTTCTTCAACATCAATACTATCAAATGTTTTCCAGATGCTTGTTGGTATGGAGTCTGTACTACTGGGTCTCACTTATTGGTGACCCCGAGCGCTGCACACCCAGCTACATAACAGACGATTCATTGCCGACGGGGACTGCGACCACAGTGTCCCACGACACTTTGCCAAAAAACATGGAAAACGCATCCAGGACTTACACTTATTTGCCATCGAACAAATCCCAGACCACTATTCCCCCGCAGAACGCTTTTAGAGACTCTGTAGACAAGAAACCTTCTGGATCTACTGCCTGAATACCCTTGCTCCTACCGGACTCAATGAAGAGTTGGAAATACTAACTATCATTTGAACATTCACACACGTATACAGCCAGTCACATATAACTCGAGATGAAAAGGCTCCCATACCCGCACCGAAGTCCCAAATTTGAATCATAATCTGAATTTCAGAAACACACACACAACTTTAACAATTTTATTTTCAGTATTTTTATCTAATTTAATTTAAAAAATTATTTTTATCTCTATTTTTATTTTTATTTATACCTATATTTATTTACAATGTATTATTTTTCCAATTTCCCCTTATTAATTAAAATGATGCACCACCACTCTGCCTCTAGACACCATCTCCCCAACCTCTCCTAAACAAGAATAAAAGCATCCGTTCCCTTTTTTACCTTCCCCTTTCTTTATATATCGACTTATAGCGCTTTATATTTCCCCCAACACACCTATACAGTTAATTCAACATAAATCCACGTCCTCAAAATCAATACAAAAACTAATACCACCTATTGAACCCTCTGACTGTTTATCCTTGACCCCCACCTGTACCCAGCGGTGCCTGCAGCCGCAAAACATGAGTTTACACCCGTATCCATTCAAACACACCACACAGCGGAGTTACCGCTTAGCCCCGCCCAGCTGTCATTTTGTAAAAACCGGCGGATTCCCGCCACTTGTAACACCGCTGGAGCTTGAGAAAGAGGTTTCCTCGAAACGCGTCGCTCCCCGGTGTCTTCCGAGTCCCTTCTCTACCCCTGACTCGTATGGCAAGCTGCCCTCCACAGCCTTTTTAACAGTTCTCCCACACGCACGGCCAGACGCTACACGCGCCACCACCACCCTACTTCCAGAGACAGGACTGCTCTCTGTCTTAAACACCGTCCTGTCAGCTGCAGGGATAGGTGTTTGCACAGCTGAAGCACCATTGACCCATACATAACATTACATTGTCCCGACTCCGGTCCATACAAAAGTCACACTGACACAGTCTCTGTACTGCCTCGCCTCCCCCGGCTCTCAGTTCTTTACTCTCCAGCAACAGCCGGCACCTTCCGAGATTTCTCCAGCCCCTGATCCTGGGCTACTCGATCCTCCTGTGAGGCCACCTCTCCCACGGCCCTCTCCAATTCAAATGTAAGTGAGTGCTTTTTATGAACATTTTTATTTACACATTTTTCATTCTGATTTTAGTACAATTTACCAGCACTCATGTTTTAAATTACCTACCCCACAAGTTTTGCGCCCTGTTGTGAACTTTCCTTTTTTATGCGTAGTAAAGACACTGATTACTTTACAGATGGGAAAACAATGCAATTACATATGAAATCTGCCTATCTATGGTGGGATTGGTTCTGGAAACCTGTGAAAGACCATTATGCTTTATATGCCCCATCTTTCATATTATCTGGTCTTATATATAAAAAAAAAAGAAAAAATAGACTAAAACTGATAATGGTGTGCATTTAACTCTTCCTGCACAGTGAAAAAAGTTTGCAACCCAGGTGACCTGAATTTGAGTCTGAACCTTTAGCTCACACGTTTGTGAAGTTTTACTCACAAACGTGTGAGCGGCCGTTTTTACCGATTATAATTGTAAGTGGCTACTTTTTTTGTTTAATAAAACGTTTATTTAGCCATGCGATGAGAACAGGACGGCTGTAAGATCACCAACTGTCATCTTTTTCTGCATATAAATATCTTGGTCTGGTGAGTGCGCATCCCAGAGGGGACTTTGACGTGGACACTTCGGTGTGGGATTTGGTATATACACTGGAAATTCTCAATCATTTTGGACTCACAAATTAAGTGTTTTTTTGGATTCACGTTTAATCATTAATCATGGACTTTTGAACCCACTTTGAATCACCTTTGGACTCACTTTGTTAGATATCACTTTGATATATTTGAGATTGTTTTATATGAGTTTTTTTACATGAGGTTTTTTTATATGTTTTTTTCATATATCTGATGCACTACTGTTTTGGTTTAGCAATTTAATTGATTAATTTAATTTTATGCACATTGACACTAGTTGAGATTTATGTTCACTAGTTTTTTGATGTTTATAATTTTGCCAAAACTGATTTAACTCACTTATTGGTGACCCCGAGCGCTGCACACCCAGCTACATATCATTTGACCCCAGTGTCTCAAGTACAGCAGCTCCTACATATATATTTTAAATTTTAAATGTTATATTTACATATTTTACAAATAATTATAAATATTTATTTAATATAAGCGCCCTTAGTTATTCATAAGCGCGGATTATACATATTTCATCAATGAATCGTCTGTGTTCCCCTATCCTCTGTCTTAAAGGGCGGATGGTGCGGCCAATGTAAAGCATGTTGCATGGACATTTGAGGCCATAGACTACATGGTCGTGTGAGCACGTGATAAATTGCTTGATGGGGTAAATGTTATTGAGGTGATCAGTGAAATCGGTTTGCCCATGGATAATAAATTGGCATGTGAGGCAGCGGGGTTTTCTACATTGGTATGTGCCCACCCTGTTATCAAATTTTTGGTTGGGTGTATTTTTGAGTGCGTCCTTATGGATCTTGCTGGGGGCTATTTTGTTTTTTAGGTTCCGGGCCTTCCTAAAAGTAACTGCTGGTTTGGCTGGGATGAATGAAGCCAGTTTGGGGTCTTCTTTTAGGATGTGCCAATTTTTCCGAATGATACGCTGTATTGAGTTGTGACTGTTGTTATACGTGGTAATAAATCTAACGTTGGTGTCGGGCTCAGACCGTTTTGTGTTGTCAGAGAGGTCCGACTTTAGATGAGTGGAATAGGCGTCACGGATGAGTTTTTCCGGGTAGTTGGCTTTGTGTGGTAAAGTCAGTGGTCTTAGAGCAGTTGCGTTTAAGTGTACAGAACTGACTTTTGGGGATGTTTCTGAGTAGTTCCTTAACTACCCATAGAGACTATAAGCCCTGTCCTTGTCAACACAGGACGAGACTCTGAGTTATTTTGTGAATAGGTGAATTTATTGACCATACGGCAATATTGTACAGAGAGAAACATGAGTACTCTCCTAAATTGCTCTTGCGCTCACAATTTATAGTTTAACAGAATACAAAGGGCGCTGACCGTCCCCAGGCAACATGAAGGTGTACATGTCTTGTTTACAGTTTTAGATTTAAGATTAATTATCAGTACATGATTTATGTGCCATAATTATCTGGAAACTAGGAATTCTTAATGAAGGTGAAATGATAAAACAGGAAAAGTGACCCTTGGTTTGGACAAAAATTAGAGCAGCATTGCCTTGGGCAAAGTACTCAGTAAACAGGTGCAAATAAGAGACAAGAATGACAACACTTATTCCACACTTCCACTGTACCTTAAGGCCTTCTCCTCACTCAAAGTCCATCCCCAAGGACACCTTACTGGAATCTAGAAAGTTTGGTCTTCCATTGGAATAGTTGAAAAGTTCATGCAGGTAGAAGGTGAATCTTGAAGCAAAGTTAATGCAGGCATATGATGATAAAATTCAAAACAAGTTAGTCAAGTAAACTGCAATCTTGCACCCACACCCCCGTCTCTGCCAACGTTTCTCATGCAACAATTTCAGGATTGGTCACTCTATTCAATAAGCGATGCAATTGATATGAGCCATCTTCAGCTGGGGTGAGTTTTAGGAGTAGAGAGTTCTGGGAGAATCCAAAGCTTGTCTTTAATTAGAGATCTGCAACATAAGAAACATGGGTGAGTGTCCATTTGAGTTCCCTGGTTATCAGATCTGGCATACCTGTTGGTAAATTACCATGGCAACAATTATTCAATTCTAAGGGGAGGGGGGAGATGAGATTTGGATAGGGTGCAAGAAACAGGCTCACCCATTTCTACTATGGTATCCTAAGCCTCGCAGCTTTTCAGTCCAGATGTGGGTTTGCGGGTCTTATAGGGCCTTTGCAATAACCTTGTTTTACATATATTTATATTGTAGGATCTTAGTCCTTTGTGTGCGGGGGATAAACTTGTTTATTCCCAACAACATTCATGATAAAATCTAAATACCACATTTTAACGCTTAATGTACAGGATAAAACACATAATTTAACAAGAAATACACCGGAATGGTTGACTGAATCGGGGATACAACATAGGCTTAAATTACTAAATGCAAATAAAGCATTAGGACCTGATAATCTACACCCCAAGGTACTCAAAGAATTGAACAAGGAGATAACAAGACCATTGTTCCTCATTTTTAAGGAATCCGTAATGGCTGGTATAGTGCCAGGAGATTGGCGAAAGGCTAATGTGGTACATATATTAAAAAAAGGGTCAAAATGCCAACCGGAGAACTATAGACCAGTTAGTCTAACATGCATAGTATGTAAACTGTTAGAGGGAATTATTAAGGGCTACTTAGTGGAATTCGTCCGGGATCATAGTATAATAAGTGATGTGCAGCATGGATTTAGGAAGGATCGTTCTTGCCAGACCAACCTGCTGACCTTTTATGAAGAGGTAAGATGAGATCTGGATGGTGGGAGGACAATGGACGTAGTGTATCTGGACTTTGCCAAAGCATTTGATACTGTGCCACATAAACGCTTGTTATACAAGCTAAGGGGTATGGGCATAGATGAACTATTGTGCACGTGGATAGAAAACTGGCTGAAGGAACGTGTACAAAGAGTATCAGTTAATGGCACCTTCTCAGACTGGGCGGAGGTCGTGAGTGGCGTACCCCAGGGTTCAGTGCTGGGTCCCATGCTTTTTAACCTGTTCATTAATGATATAGGGGAGGGAGTGAAAAGTAATATCTCAGTGTTTGCTGATGATACGAAAATTGGGAGGGTAGTAGACACAGATTTAGACATTATAACATTACAGGAGGACCTGGAGAAAATCGGGGAGTGGGCAACTGTATGGCAGATGAAGTTCAATGTCGATAAATGTAAGGTAATGCACCTTGGAGCTAAAAATAGGCAAATGGACTATACACTCATGGGTATGCAACTAGGGAAGTCGGAAACGGAGAAGGATTTGGGGGTCATTATAGACCGCAGATTGAAGAACAGCTCGCAGTGCCAGGCTGCTGTAAACAAAGCTAGCAGAGTCCTGTCT